GTACCATTATCTGATCTTAAACATTTAAGGGTAGTTTGTAATTGGTTTTCTATGTAAGCTATGAAATTAATAAGGCTTGGTTTAGTTTGGTCTTTGGTTTTAAGGAAAATAACCCAAGTATGTCTTGAATAATCATCAACAAGGGTTAAAAAATACTTGTGTCCTAAAGTGGAGATTGTGGAGAAAGGACCCCATAGGTCAGCATGAAAAATATTAAAAGGAACATTAGAATGAGATACAATATTTGGAAAAGGAAGTTTTCTTTGTTTAGCAAAGTGACAAGAGTCACATGGTACATTATCTTTATTACAAGAAATGAAAGGAAAATACTTTGAAATGGTGTGTAAACCAATATCAGATATGTGACCTAGCCTTAAATGCCACAAATTACAAGATGTATGAGAAATATAATTATGAACAAAAGAATTATTAGCATGAGAAAGTGAAGGTGTGGTGTCAAGAACATAAAGTCCCCTGTGTAAGCTAGCTATACCAATCATTGCCTTGGTGTGATTCTGCATAATATGGCATGTGTTAGCACGAAATTGAACAAAACATTGATTACTAGCAACATGTTTAGCTACAGATATAAGGTTGACATTAAAGCTAGGAACATAAAGCACATTGTGAAGAGTGAGATAGGGTGATATAGCTACTGTGCCAGAAATGAAAGTCATGACTTGTGAACCATCAGGTAGGCTAACATGGATGGGGACTATGTTCTTATGTGTAATAAAGGAAGATAAATCAAAAGAGAAATGGTCAGTAGCTCCAGTATCAAGGATCCAAAGGTGATGGTGCTTACCATTCACATTGGTTGAGTGAGATGCATGACAAAAGGTGACGTTGAGACAGAATTGACAACGGGTTGAGGCTTGGATTGCTGAATCAGTGCGAGGATGCTGTCATACTGCTCCTTAATAAAACCAAATGAGGATGGTGCTTAACCCTGAGAAGAGGATATGGATGCATTACTAGCATTTACAGCTGATGAAGATGATGTAGACCCTTGAGCCTTGGATTTATTTCTGTAACCTGGTGGGTATCCGTGCTTGCTGAAACAAGTTTCAATGCTATGGTTCGTCCGGCCACAGTGAGTACAAACTCTGTTAGAACCTTTTGCAGAAGCTGAACCTTGAATCTTAGCACGATAGGTGTCAGAACCTTGTCTACCAGAATGGTTCCCTTCCTGAGCTTGAACTTGTAATGTAGAGGCTTCTTCAATGGAACCTGTAGGGGCAACAACACTTGATGCAGAGCTATCCATTTCATGTTCTTGTTGAATCATAAGCGAGAAGGCCTTGTCAATATCAGGCAACGGATTCATCATCATAATCTGAGATTTTGAATGAGAAAATTTCTCAGATAAACCTTTGAGAAAACGAATTATGTAATCTTGTTCCCTATACCGTTTAACAGATACTATGGCACCGCAACAACAGGGAATTGCACAAGAACAAAACGGAACCGGTTGATAGTTCTCCAATTCGTCCCACATAACCTTCAATTGTGTAAAATAGTTAGAGACATCGAGAGTACCTTGACGGAATTTGTACAAGTCTTCTTGAATGTCAGATATGCGGAAGATGTCGCCTTGAGAAAACCTAATTTGCAAATTCTTCCATACGCCAAATGATGTATCAATCCACAAAACAGACTTCGCTATTGGTTTCGAAATCGATCGTTGAATCCATGCAAGAACCATGGTATTACAATGGATCCATGGTGCGTACATCGGATCCGAAACAGGTGGCTTAGTTAGGGTTCCATCAATGAACTTCTCCTTATTCTTGGAGATAAGTGAAATGTGCATCGATCGAGCCCAGGTATGGTAATTTTTATCAGTGAGCAAAGGCGTAACAAGAACAAGAGCTAGATTCTCGTTCGGATGGAGATAATAGGGATTTGCAGAATTAGTTGCAAAATCGGTGTAGCTCTGGTTCGCCATTGAATAACAGAAAAAGATGAAAGTGATCAAGAAAAAGATGAACGATGAAAAACAGAAAGAACTCACAAAGGAGATGAACAAAGATCGCAGAAGAAAGAACAATGACTACCAGAGCTTTTGAAGCTCTGATACCATGTCGATAATGGAGATGAGTTTGAATATACACTGCGATGATGCCATAGCAGAAAGAAGAAGAAGCGATAACGGAAAGAAGAAGAAGTAATGAAAGGGCAAAAGTTTGTTATCATTCATCTAACTCAATACAATAATGATATCAGTATATATACAAGTATTTGTGTGAACAATTAACGGTATGCCAGCTGTACACTAAACTTATCTAGTTACATTAGGATAAGAAACTAAAGGTATAATACTGATAATTCTCACTTGGGAGAATATTGATTCCATAGAAAGGGAAAAATCCTCCCGCATTCATAACCCGACCATTCGCTATGTTCTTAAAGTGTCTGCGCATTCTTTTTTTGGCAGGGAGACAGTACCGACAATGTTGAATTGAAATAATTATATTTAATTTATTGTATCTTCAACTCTATCCCGGTTCATACCGGGATTTTTATGGTGGCACACTTGGAAAAAGTAGCCAAAGATTCAAGAGGGGCCATTGTTGTAGGTGCTATAATTACCAACCTAGATGAGGCCTTAGGGTACGACAGAGAGCCGAGGAGGTTAGAAGTATTTAGGTAACCGCTTTATTAGTTATGTGTTTTAGTGTCTTTTACTTTCTTGTTTTGGATTGTTTTTTTTGTGGTAGTGACATTTTTGTTTCAATTCTCCCCAAAATTTGAATTTTTATTTATGAAAAACTACATAATGTGTTGCACCCCTATGTTGGTAGGGGTGTCCAGGAGCCTTAGTGATTTTTGGTGGTTTAGGGCTTGTTCACGGTAGTGAGAAATTTTATTCGGTGGTGTTTTGGCTATGAAGAGAGCAAACTCGCATGAAGTGAGAAACTCTTTATTCTATAGGTATTTTGTGTATGTTATGAGTTGTTCTTCCTCAACCCCAAGTTTGAGGTATATATAGAACCTTTTAGACTTGAATGGAGATAAATTACTTCCGCTCCACTACTAAATCATGGGGAGGAAGGGTTTATTCCTCCTTTGATCCATTCCTCTAGTATGTTGGCATTAGACACGTTCTCTCATGTTTATTAGACAAATGAAAAAGATTTCGAGTAAACTAAGTCCAACTGAACATGATGTTATTAAGATTCAGACGATTTTATGGCCTGTTTTAGACAAGCGGTGGCTCCGCAAGTTACCTCATCCCTCGCCCATGTGTTAACCTACCTCACTTTTACGTAAGTTACCCCTTCTTGAGGAAAAAAAAAATATACTCATTTGAAATTTTTTTTGAATATGTTTTCACTAAAAAAATTATATTGAATGTAGAAAAGAAATGTTAAGCTTTAAGGACTTTGAGAATTTTTTTTGATAAAATTGGCCTTACACCTAAAGCCTCCCAAATTAGAACTATTTTAGCTTACTTTGTTTTGTAGTCTTTGAGATTTATAAAGTACTTTCTAATTAATTCATTTAGAACAGTATGTTATACTTTTGATTTGCATACTAAATTTTGGTTTGACGGAAAAAGTAAAAAATAGACCGTAAAAGAAAAATACACATATTAAGTTTGATAATCTTCACTTCACTTGATTATTCAACCCAACGGTAATTGATCTCCAATGCCGATAAAGAAAAAAACTATGAAACTATGTGTTAATAAGAACAACTAATCAGAGTAAATTTGACACACTCTTAAGAGGTTGTCCTTTCCAAAAGTTAGTTAGTTGTGTGTTGTAAAGTCTAAAATAAATTCTAAATCCAACCATATTTGTATGTGATGGCTATTGTTATTCTTATACCTTAAATTGATTCTTTTGAGTGATTGAAAAGAGAAGAAAATCAAGAAAAAAAGACTTATAGACAAAGCCATAGCGGAATTGGTCCTTAAGAGGAAGACTTTAGTTTGTGTTCTTACAACACCCTTAGTGTTAGACAGTACTAGATGAATTAAGTCTAGGATAATCTGAACTAAGTTCTCATGGTGTTAATGTTTTATCCTTTCGTTCTTGCTTGCTTTTGCTGTATTGTTCAAGACTCTTTGGAGAAATTCAATGCAATTTTATTTTTTACATTAATCATGTTTTCTTTTACTCTTTACTATTGTTATTATTGATGTTAGTATGTGCTTTTGTTGTTTTTATCAATTTCCATATTTGAGTAGATAGATTTAGAGGCTGAGAGTGAACTCTTATTGCGATTGACCCCATGCAAGTTTCATGAGTATCAATTGTAACAAGAATAAAAATTTGTTTTGCAAATTATGTCTTTAAATGTATAAATGTTCGCTATCAAAGTAGGAATATGGAGACATCTTTTATGCACCGAAAGGGTATAAACGATGTCCAATTTAGAAATTCGAATAATTGATTTTGAAATTGCAAAAGTGTTTCAGAATCAAATGGAGAAATACAATCTTTCTCATAGATGATATCCTTTGGCTATCAGTTTGGCTTTGTATTCAGAGATTGTTCCATCAGTATTTACTGAATACCCATTTTGAGCCTATGATGTTGTATTTGGGAGGAGGAGGAACAAGTTTCTATGTATCATTGTGAATAAGTACATCATATTCTTCTTTCATAGCTTTCTTCCATTGGGTGTGTTATGTTTTGACGGATTTTGGTTCAACATTGAGACATGATAACGATGATGCAAGACAACTCTTTGGTTTAAAGATTCCTCTTTTGTATCTTGTACTCATTTTGTGAGCAATGACTGTATTAGTGAATATTAATAAAAGAAAAAAAAAAAACTTTTACTTTGCTTGTCATCTTAAAATAAAAACTTTTATTAATCTTCGCTCTCAATTTATACTTCCCTTGTCATGTGAATAAAGTTACATCACATGATTCACATGAGATGTTTTTTTATTCAAGTATTAGATTCTTCACTATATAGTAACATTCTTTTGGTAACACTGCAAATTCAACTATAACGCATTTCATAGAATCTTAATTTTTGCCACTATGACATCGCTTGGTGATACTGACAACATATTACTCAGCATTTCACCAGATGAAGTTAACGATTTTCTCGGCGAATACACCTGGGAAGGTAAATGGGAAAATGTTATAATGTTATACTACGAATTTCCCGAACAAGCTCATACAGCAATTATCTCTGATTCAGATGGTACTGCATTACATGTAGCGATAGATTTAGACGAAGAAACCGTCGTTAAAGAGCTTGTGAATGCTATTTTGACGCACCATATCGAAGTTAGTGATCAGAGTCAGAGAGTTGAAGCTTTGGAAATGGAGAATGAACGAGGTGACACGCCGTTGCATTTTGCAGCGTCGCGAGGTTTTGCTAGATTATGTAAGTGTATTATTGGAGGAAATAAGGAGAGAATATATTTGTTGAGTCGTAAAAATAAACACGGCGAGACACCTCTTTTTCAAGCTGCTGTTAATTGGAGAAAACAAACTTTTGCTTATCTTGCTCATATTTCTAAAGATATAGTCAATTTGCAAGATCTTGTTAGAGATGATGGTGATAGTATTCTTCACACCGCTATCCGAGGAGAATATTTCGGTAAATTATACTCTTTCTGATCCTTTTTAGTGTTATTTACACACAATAAAGAAACTAATAAGTTTTGTTACTTCTGATGAAATAGATTTAGCTGTGATAATCGTACAATACTACGATTTTCTGAGCACGCATTTGAACAAAGAGGAATCAACTCCTCTCAAAGTTCTTACAACTAGACCTTCCGCGTTCAAAAGTGCAAGCAACCTTTCGTGGTATAAGCGAATCCTATACCATTGTAAGTTGTAATCATTGATATTATATGATTGAAATGTACTATAGTATATGTTTTGAGTTTGAATTTTTGTCTGTTACAATACAAAACTAGGTATATTAGTGGAACCACTCGATGCGGAGAGAACAATGAGATCGAATTTGAGAAAGATGGAGGATCGTTCGGATTGTAATAAGATGAAGATTCCAGAGAACTATACAGCTTTCTATGATTTGGTTTCTATATGGTTAGGTGCAACAATATTTGGTATGTGATATAAGGATTTTCATGCCATTAGTCCTTTTTTGCTATACATCATCTTAGATATTTGAATGGAGATAACTGCGAAAACATCTTTGTTGTTTTGAGTTTACCAGGAAAAAAGTTTTGGAAAAAGAAACAGCCCGACACGGAAGATCCATCAAACGAAAATCGTCGTCCGGTTAGATCAGAGAAATATCCTGTTGGGTATTTGCCACCAAATTATGAAACATTTCATCAATTTGTCAAGTCTGCATATGTGCATACTCTTGGCCTATCAGGAGTAGGTATGTTATCTTCTTCGCGATTGCGAAAATAATTTAACACGGTTAACTAACGAATTGATCATGTTACGATTAATGTTTCATTTATAAGAGTTAAAGGACGTAAAGATTGCGAAAAAGAAGCATCAATGGAGTAGTCAGCTGTTGAAGGCTTTAATGAAAAGACCTTACGCAGCATTCACGGGAAGTGGAGGCCGACCAACGGATATAGTAGTTGATCCTGCCATGTATAATGTTTTTGCCCAAGGTATACATGTAGTTCTATCTGGATTTCAATTTTGCGAACTTGGATCTCAAATTAACTGTTAAGACCTTTTTAAGGGAGTAATTTGAGCTGTCTGATTTCAGGTGGAGACGGAAGGTTTGAAGATCATAAACAAAAACCTGATGTCATAGTGGAAACATCGTTAGCTTCGAGTGAAAGAAAGAAGGAAAATGAAAAGGAGATCGACAAAAAGATGACGCCGTTTTTGGTTGCGGCAAAATATGGAATAGTTGAAGTAGTGAAAGAAATTCTAATCAAAATACCAAGCGCGATTCATAACACGAACTCTATGAAAGAAAATGTATTGCTTGTTGCAGTGAAGTATCGGCAACCCCTTATCGTTGAGACACTGAGAGAGATTAATCACTCCAAACCAGAACTATGGAATAACTTGATTCTTGCAATGGATGAAGATGAGAACACAGTATTGCATTTGGCAGCTAAGGCACTAGGTGGTGATAAGCCATGGCAGATTGCTGGTTCCGCATTGCAGATGATGTGGGATATAAAATGGTTTCAGTATGTCAAAAGCCTTGTACCGCCGCACTTCTATTTCAGAAGCAACAACGAAGGCAAAACATCGGGAGAAATCTTCAAGACATCGCACGCGGATCTTATAAAAGACAGCAGCGAATGGCTAAAAGACACGTCTGAATCATGCTCGGTCGTAGCTGCACTTGTAGCTGGTGTTTCCTTTGCCACAGCAAGCGCTGTACCTGGCGGAACAACAGATGAAGGTAGGCCGATATTAGAAGGCAAGCCTGCATTTGATGTCTTCGCCATTTCTTCACTTATCGGTCTTTGTTTCTCTGTCACTGGACTCATCATGTTTCTTTCTATTCTCACTTCGCGAAAACAGGCCAAGGATTTTCGTCGCGATTTGCCATCGAAACTTCTTATTGGGTTGAGTTCTCTTTTTGTGTCCATTGCTTCTATGTTTGTTTCGTTCTGCACTGGACATTTTTTTCTGCTTAGCCATAACTTTAAATCGATTTTGTTCCCAATTTACGCAGCTACTTGTTTACCTGTGACTTTCTATGCTGTTGCACAGTTTCCTCTTTATTTTGATCTTTTGACAGCTATTTTAACTAAGGTGCCAATGGCAACTGATAAAGGTGATGGTTTATAATCAAGAGGTTCTATATGTAATGCTTTTGATTTGAGTTTTTGGTTAGTTTTTTTTGCTGGTTATGTTTCTGATGTTCTGTTTGTATTGAGAATGTAATTGATTTAAGTTTGAAGTTTGAGAATATAATAGTAATCACATTATGTATGAGTTTTGGCAAGTCATTCTATTTGTTTTTGTTGGAACTTTTTGTTTAGTAATTATACTTTTGTGTATAATGACTCTTTTTTTTTCAATACGAGTCAAGTTTCCAACCTAATTCATGGATAGATCATCTAACACTTGGGAAGTAGAGGTGGTCTCATCCAGGGAAATGAATTCGGGATTGTAATTGAGGGATCTTTACGCTTCGATTTCCCGACCACCAAAAATTAGGTTGAATACAAAGTTGTCATCATCATCCATTGAGATTGGGGCGAAAAACATTAGATTTCGGACAAATTCCCAGCTTGTGGTGTCTCAAGTCAAGAGGGTAGCTCAGACTAAAGACTCATTGTTACAACAATATGCGCATTGGCCATGGAAAGATTATTGAAGTCCAGGTCCTTTGAAATCTTGCATGTCTCAAAGAGAGCACAAAATTAAACCAGTCGTCCTTTCTAAACTTTCTAATACCAGATTCTCTGGAGTAAATCATTCTTTTATCTAGGAGACGCTGAGGGGACCAAACATCAAAATTTTAAAAGTAGCGGTGATGATAATAGAAGATGTCTCGCAACCCTTTTGGATATCAACTACTATAAAGTTTATTGAGCAGAGAACACTTCCCTTCGATCTAGTTGAAACCTCCCCGGTGACTAAGAAAGACAAATTGTACTCTATGATAGAATAGATCTTATATAGGAGAGGTTATCGACCCCTCCGTTGAAATTCCTAGAAGGGGAGGAAGTCGCCAACGTTCTTACTGAAGTACATAAAGGGATAGTCAAATAACATCTCGGTGCCTGAGCCCTGACAAGGCGGAAGCTGCAGGTTTGAGCTAGCTAAAAAAGTCCTTAGAGCCAGATAATATTGGCCATCTATGGTCCAATACACTAAAGAGAATGTGAATAAATGCGAGTGGTTCCAGAAGCACGGAAACATCCACAACGCCCCTTTATCTGACTTGGATATGTTGACATCACCTTGGCCTTTTTCACAATGTGGTATGGACATCCTCGGTCATTTCCCCCTAGCACCGGGGCAACATAATAAACTTTCTAATCATGAAAGTTGATTACTTCACCAAGTAGGTCGAAGTAGAAGCTTTAGCAAAGATTATTCTTGCCAACATTATGAAGTTCATTAAAAAGAATGTCTTGGACATGTACGAAATACTTATATCCATTGTAACACTTCACATCATTTTAGTGGATAAAAATCTTTAGTGGATAAAAATCTTCATTGGATATAAATATGAGTCAAGTACTAGACGACTTTAAGGTGTCAAGCAACATTTCACTTCAATGAAGCATCCTAAGACGAACAGGCAAGCCGAAGTGGAAAATCGAATGTTGTTGAAAGGATTGAAGCAAATGACCATGGAAATTAGGCATATGATCTCCCAAGTGTCCTTTGGGCATATTAGAGCACATTTTACTTTACAACAGACGAAACACACTTTAGACTCACTTATGAAACTGAAATGGACATTCCTATTGAAATAAGGGAGCTTATCTAAAAGACAAATCATCCTTTTCTAGAAGAAGACAACATCCAGGAAATCATGGGGGAGATGATATTTAAAAGAAGATCATTTTCTTCCCTCATGAGTGTTGCGGTGAAATAAGCGACCGGAGCCTGGTATAACAAGCAAGTCTGACCTCAAGAAATCCAACCCAGAGACCCATACTAAAGTGTGTCGGTGTTTGATAGAAGAATACTGGAGATAGAGGAGCATACATGATAAAATCTAGTACCAGGAACATCAGATACACCTTGGAACCCTTAACTTAGGAACTAATACTCAAGACGTGGAATGTTGTCAAGCTCAAACGGTACTTTAATTGAATACCATCCAGATTGTCCATATATGAAGTGATTATTTATTATCTAATGTAATGCTTTGAGATAAATAATACAATGACCTGTATTGTACTGTATATGATTTTTTTTCTATAAAAAAGCAAGATCAAAGACTAATTCGGCACACAAAGTCATAAATACTACACCGCCCTCTTGGTAGTTAGCCACTCAATATCGCAAGTGATGAAATCTTGGATACACCAACCTCGAAACAATCCTTCACTTAGGGTCAGGAAAAGGAGAACTGACCTTTGGCCGATCACAGTCTCCAGAGACGTCAAAGTACACTTCAATCACCAATGCATGGTGAATAAGTGATTAAATAAAATCATGGAGGACAAAATGGTGAAAAATCTTAAGCGAGTAAATATTGACATAAAATCTTGAAAGGAAAAGCGATGAAACAAAATAGTGAATGAATAAATTATGAAACAAAATCGTTGAAGACTAATTGATGAAACAGAATTGTAAGCGGCCAACCGGAAAATCAAAGAAGCAACCCAAATTATTAAACAAATAAATTAAATGAAATCACTAAATAATCCAAATATGTATGACTAAATTATATAGCTTTTGTTGTGAATCGTATACCTTTAAACAAAGTATAAACGGTTTCTTAGCAAGAAACACACAAGGGTTAGGGTTAATAAAGAAGAAAACAATAAGGATTGGTTATTAAACTGCTATTCTTTCCTTTCTCTTATAACAAGATTACAAGTATACAAGAATAACAAAATAACCTCTCTCTCTTGAAATTAAGATTTTATCTTCCTGTTTTTCCTTATGTCAAGATTGAGAAACTAGTATCCTATTTATAAGAAAAATAACACACTAACCTAATGGGCTTTTTAACAATTACCTATTACAAGTCAACTTAGGGTACAAGCTAACTTAAACAATTGGGCTTATAAGCAAGGCCAAATTCAACATGCTAACAACCCTAGCAATATTGACTAATGCATGTTAGAACAGACTTCGACTACAACACGCATTACTCGCGAACAGACTTCGACCATACTAGAGTTCGATCCAACATCTCACAAATCTCCACCTTGGATCTAACTCTATAACATCAAGAAACTAGCTTTCTTCATGCAGCTTTATTAACTGCATACAGTAGAAAAACTTGCAACTGGGCAACGTCTTGGTGATCATATCAGCAGCATTATGATCTGTTGAAACCTTCAGCACTTGGACTTCTCCATTCTCGATTACCCCTCTGATGAAATGCAGCCTCACATCAATGTGCTTGGTTCGCTCATGATAGGCTGAATTCTTCGACAGGTGTATTGCACTTTGACTATCACATTTAACAGTGATAACTCGACCTTGAAGTTTTAGCTCCTTTGCAAAACCTTCAAGCCACAATGCTTCCTTCACAGCTTCAGTTAGGGCAATATACTCCGCTTCAGTGGTTGATAAGGCAACAACCTTCTGAAGTGTTGCTTTCCAACTGATTGTTGTCCCAAACATAGTGAACACATATCCAGAGATAGATTTTCTGGAATCCATACAACCTGCATAATCAGAGTTGACATATCCTTCGATTGCTGCTTTGCTATCTTCACCCAAGGCTCCACCATAAATTAGGACTCTATTCAGAGACCCATTTATGTACCTTAAAATCCACTTTAATGCTTGCCAGTGAGCCTTTCCAGGATTCGCCATGTACCTGCTTACAAGACTTACTGCATATGCTATGTCGAGTCTAGTACAGACCATAGCATACATCAAAGAACCTACTATGTTAGCATATGGAATTCTATTCATATAAGTTCTTTCAACATCAGTGTTGGGACACTGATCTATACTCAGCTTAAATTGAGGGTTTGTCGGAGTTACAACAGGCTTTGAATTCGACATACCAAACTTTTCGAGAATCTTCTGTAGGTATGTCTCTTGAGATAAACATAATTTCGACTACTTTCTATCTCTCCGGATGTCAATCCCAAGAATCCTAGACGCAGCTCACAGATCCTTCATGTCAAACTCTTTATTAAGTTCAACCTTCACCCTCATTACCTCTTCGACATTGTTGTTTGCTATTAGAATATCATCCATATAGAGCAACAAAATAACAAATGAATTACCCGGTCAAAATCTGAAGTAAACACAGTGGTCGAACTGACTTCTGATGAAACTTATGTGTGTCATGAACTTGTCGAATCTCCTATTCCACTGTCGAGGAGATTGTTTCAGTCCATATAAGGATCTATTCAGTTTGCACACATAATCTTCCTTCCCCCTTTCGACATACCCTTCAGGTTGCCCCATCAGGATTGTTTCATCTAGATCACCATACAAGAACGTAGTCTTCACATCCATCTGTTCCAGTTCAAGGTCGAACTGGGCCACCATGGCAAGCAACATTCGAATGGATATGTGCTTCACAATAGGAGAGAACACATCATTGAAGTCGATACCTTCTTTCTGAGTGAACCCCCTAGCAACCAATCTTGCCTTGTATCTCTTCGACGTCACTCCTTCGATTCCTTTCTTAACTTTGAAAATCCATTTACAGCTGACTAAACTGGCTCCAGCAGGTTTCTTGATCAGTTCCCAGGTGTTGTTATCATGAAGAAATTTCATCTCATCATCCATGGCCTTCAGCTATTCATTCTTCTTCCGACTCCTCATAACTTCCTTATAGTCTCTAAGTTCTTCATCTAGAACCTCACTAGTAGAGATAAAGGCATAAGCTATAAGATCTGCATACCCAAGTCTTTGAGGTGGCTTGATGACTCTCCTCGACCTGTCTCTTGCTAGCAGGTAGTCATTATCAATCTCCTCATCTTCGACAACATCTTATGCGTCTTCTTCGACTTCATCTGGGGTAAGCAATCCAGCATCAACATGCTCCACCTCAACAGGAATCTCTCCCTGCTCCAGCTCTTCGTCAGCATCATCAGTTTTCTTGAAAGTCATCCCTGCTTCATTGAAAACTACATCTCGACTGGTGATACACCTCTTGTGACCTGGCTCCAGGCACCATAGCCTAT